ACCTCCCACACACACACACACACCCGTACTTAGGCCTTCGTTATCGGGCACCTGGACAATCACAATTGTTCCACTTGGCCTGTTCCCCAAATCTCAGGTCAATCCTGCTACTACTCTGCTCTAAAAGCCCCTGTGAGCACAGCTCCCCCAAGTCCCCGCTTGGTCCCCAGCTTGACCTGCAGGGCCCTCCTGAGTCTGGTGCCTGCCTTTCCACCATCTGGCCTTCCTGGCTGTCCCCAGGCGTCCTGTTTAGTCCGCCTGTGCATTTTCAGCTATCCCCTGCCTGGCAAAGCGCTCCTGCTAAGTCGAATCTATTCAGCTCCTTGTAAACTTTATCTCCTCCAAGAAGGCTGCTCTGCACACCTCTGAAAGTCACAGCACGAGGTGTGGGAACCACTGACTGGCCCCTGCCATGCCTGCGAAGTACCTATTAAGTCCAAGACAGTCCCTCTCTGGATGGAAACTCCCCAGTGGCATCAACAGCAGCAGCAGCACCACTTACCGGCATCAGCAGGTGTGGGCGTGCCCATGCCACCAAGCTGGGTCATTCTCCCCTTAACCTTCTGAGTAGTCAGGGAGTCTTGGGGACACTTCATAAGGAAACTACACTCCAATTTACCTGCCCAGGCCCAGCCCCAATCAGTTGGTAATGACAGGGATGGGGCCAGGTTTCTAAGGCCCCGTTGGCCTCCCTGCCTCTGCTTCTGTGTCTGTCGCCTCCATTTAATGTTTTGTTTTCTGCCACATTAATCTTCCCTAAGCTCCATCTCAGTTTCCCTGCAGGCCTAGAACGTTCTCTCTTCTCCTTTCTTTCTACCCAAACTTCCCCTCCTCAGCTCCAGAACTCTTTCAGGGAGTCTTCCAGGTCACACTGGTCCCCAGTGAGCACTTGAGTTCCCCTGAGCCCCTATGGTGACTGGCACCCAGGACTCCACTTTATTAACAGCCATTATGTATTGAGGGCATACTATGCACCAGAATCTTTTTATATATCATTAATCTTCTCAACAAGTCAGTGATGTAGAGATGACTACCCCACCCCATTCTACAAATGAGAACTCTGAGGCCCAGAGAGTTCCAGTGTCTTTCCCAAGGCCACAGAGCTGGCAAGCAGCAGAAGCAGGATTCGAACCCTTATGTTTACTCCCTCACAGCACATGACACTTGGCTGCTCTCCATCTGTTTCCCAGCCAGAGAAGCAGCTGTCAGAGAACAGAGACCCACCTTGTGCTTCTCTGGTGACCACCCACCCCATCCCCTGCACCTGGCCCACCCCTGGAGCCCAACCATGGTGGCCTGGTGTAGACAGGCCTGCATTCCAGGTCCCAGAGCAGGAGGGGCCCTGGCGGGAGGGCCAGGGACAGAAGCCCAGAGTGCCGGCTTGGGTGCCCAGCCCGCTGCTGCACTGTCACTGTTAATTCAGCCAGTCTTCTGAAGTTGCCAGCCCCCACACCCTGTCCCTGGCCCCTCTTGGCTAGGACAGAGGGCCTTTCAGTCTGGGCTGCCACCATGACCACCTTCTCGGGAGGGGCTGTTTTTCTAAACTTTTGATCCTGAAGCAGATGCAGACTGCAGGCCAGTGAGGTGTTGGGGGTTCTGTGTGCTGGGAGTCCCTCCCTGGGGGTCCATGGCTGGTCACCTAGAGATGACTGCAGAGGAAGGGCCCTCTGGTGTCAGCATATTGGGTAGCAGCATGCGGGTATTTGTGTGAAGGTGTGTGCTGTGCGTGAGGGGTGTCATTTCTAACTCCCCACCGCAGACAAGGACATCTTTGTCTGCACTGCTCTGCCTCCCCGTCCCATCAGAAGGGCCTCTGTCTGATTATTTTTATAGGGTATTTCAGACTTCCTTCTCTGCTTCACTCTGTCCTTCAGCAACTGTTCCAAGATCAATTTACCTTATTCTGCTTAGAGAAGAATGGCAGCTGGGGATCTCAGAAGCCAGGGCCTAATTCCCAACTCTGACGTGCTCGGAGACTCCAAAGAAGCAGGGAGGTGGCAAACACCAAGGTAAATCGTGTCGTTGCTAGCCAGGCGCGGTGGCTCACGCCTGTAGTCCCAGCACTTTGGGGGGCCAAGGCAGGCGGATCACAAGGTCAGGAGTTCAAGACCAGCCTGGCCAATATGGTGAAATCCCATCTCTACTAAAAATACAAAATTAATTGGCATGGTGGCACATGCCTGTAGTCCCAGCTACTCGGGAGGCTGAGGCAGAAGAATTGCCTGAACTCGGGAGGTGGAGGTTACAGTGAGCCGGGATCACACCGTTGTACTCCAGCCAGGGCTATGAGTGAGACTCCGTCTCAAAAACAAAAACAAAAAAAACTGTGTCACTAGAAAGCTGGGGTAAGCTACAGGGCCTCCCTCTTCTCTTTCCACACCATCAGCCACAGATTCCTCCTTCTTCTTTTTAGCCTGGATTGCTCATCTGCAAAGATTCTTTATTCCTAATGCTTTATCTCTTCATCTCTTTGACTCTGCCTCAGTTTCTTCATCTGTAAAATGGGGATAATAATAGTATCTAACTCAGTTATTGAGGGGATGAAATGAAATACAAAGCTTCTAGGATAGTGCCTGGCACATGATGAGGGCTCACTAAATGTTAATAGTTATTACTATTAAAAACAGGTACTGAGCCCTCTGCTGTGCAGCAGCTGGCGTTCTCATGGAGGTTGTGCTGTGCCCCCAGACAGGTTAAGTTGGTCCGGAGGAGGAGCTGGTCCACGTTATTTAAAGCGCCCTCTGCTGGCCATTGGCAAGAAGGCCTTGGACAAGGTGGGGCGTTCATGGTGGGGGAGCGAAGTGCTGAGTGCAAGGGGAAGGGGGGACTTCTGCTGGATGCAGAGCCCAGAGTGCTACTCATCCCATCCGAAAAATGTACAGTTTGGAGTATTTCTCTTTACCAGCCTGAAAACAGGTTCCAAAGACGGCTTCACCAACGGGCTCAGCAATGCTAAGACCAGGACAAGCTGCCAGCTGCGGCTAAGAGCCTGCTTGCTCCCTGGCTGTAACAGTAGGAAGGAGAGAAGCTACATGCCCAGCATCCAGGGCTTCCTCACCTCGAGGCGTGATGGGGGTGGGGGGTGGAGGCATTGGTTCTTACTTCGAATAAGGTAATGATGGTGGCGGGGGGTTGCCCCATGTAGGATGTCAGGTCAGGAAGAAAATAAATTACTGACTCTATAAGCCCAATGCAGCCAGAAGGTGGTAGTTCCTAACAGCTCTTGTTTCTTACATTGCAAGACCCTCTCCTGTACCAGTGCACGACAGATCGTCATCCACCTGCAGATGCACTGGCCAGACCTTCACTATATCCCTGTGAGAGGAGTAAGAGGACTCCAGTGGAAGCAGGAGAAACTAAAGTTAGACTTCGGGAAGGACGGTCCTGAAATAAGGCTAGGTGTAGTCTTGTCCTTCAGAGTCTGGCATAGGAAAAATGACCCCGGGGCTGGTCCACAGAACTGACCCTCTTCTTCAAGGGTGTAGAGCAAGGTGTTGGGAGACTGGCAGCCACCACCTAAGAATTCTCTGAAGCGTTTCTGGTAGGTCCCGGCTGGGAGGGGAAGAAGGGAAAGGGGAAGCGACTGCAGCAAAATCATAGGTCATTGTTTTATTGCATTGTAGAGAATGCTGCAGTGCACAGATGACATGCCGCTAGGTCCACTGTACAAGGCCCCGGCAGCCTCCATGGAGGGTTGGGGGCAGACTACAATACACATCAATGCTACCTTAAACAGTGTCTGGTGGGAAGGGGTGGGGCACTCTGAGACCAAGCTAAGCTCCCCAGCCCCTCTCGAGGTATCATGTGGGACAGGAAATTCACCCCAGGCTCTACACAGAGTCCACAGGATTAGAGCTGTGGTGGAGTAGGCCTGTGAAGGTGAGACAGAGAGAAAGCAGGGCGAGTGAGCGACAGAAATTGATGGAGGAAAAGGACAAGACAGGCCTGAGAGTAGGGAGGGATCAGCAAACACTCAACCTCCAGGTCCTCCTCCGGCATGTGGCTGGAGAGTTCCAGCAGTTTGGTGATTTGTAGGAAGGGTGACTTGATTCCTGCTCCCCCAATACACTTTCCTGGGCCCTGTCCCTAGGGACGGGCCTGGGGCTACTTTCCACCCTCAAGGAGGGAGATTCCAGAAGGCGGTATAAGACCAATGAGCCGGCTGAGGCCCTGGGGATGTGCAGAGGGGTCTGAGGCGGCGGGAGGGGCTCTGTGTTGAGGAGGGGCAGCAGGTGGAGAACCAGGACCTAATATGGGTGGAGAGCCACGCAGGCTGGTGTGTGGGGCTCGGGGAGGTGGCAGGGCCCATCTTTGGCTTAATAGCTTGGCCCTCGGCCTCTTTCCTTGCTGCCTATCCAGGGTCCCCTTCATACAGGTTGGATATCCAGTTTCTGCCATGAGCCCACTCTGTGACGACTGTGGTCACTGCAGTGTGCCACGTGGGTGTGCATGCATTCACTAATGGTCCTACTGCTTTAGGATGCCACTGCCACACCTGCGCACAAATACACTCACACATACACACACCTAGCCAGGCAGCCCCCTGGAAGATGTGGACAATGAGCCTACAAGGACACCTGGGCATGGGGGTGGATGTCTCCAGAGCTGGTGGCCCAGGTAAGGGAGCCCTGCAACAGTGGCCCTCTCCATCCCCGAAGCAGATCAGCTGCCTTGCTCCAGTACTCTGACAGGAACTTGGATTTCAAACTAGGGAAAGAACTGGGGCAAGGGATTGGCAGTCTGGAAGAAAACAGGAAAATGACAGACAGCCCTGCTTAAGTGTGGAAGGGACGGGAGGTGCAGGGGAATGGAGGCAGGGGGACCCTGTCCACACAGTGAGGGCACATGCCCAGCGCCCAGCATGGTCGCTCATTCCATCCATTCACAGAAACTACCCCACAGCTGCCCTCACGTTGCCGCTGCTCTCCTGAGGCTCCCCGAGCAGAGTGATCTTTCAGCTTTAATGCTCCTCCCCTCACACCCTGGCGACACACACGGGGCCAGGTGAATAGAGGACGTTTAATATTTCTGTGCTGGTCAAACGGAACACAGGTGGGGAATACACGGGTAGGGGGCAGAGGGCCCCCTGCCTCTCAGGAGGGGTGGCTTGTGAGGGGTGCATGTGGGGGATTCTTGGGAAATATCCAAGGAGTCTTCTCAGCAAAGGGGCCAGGCCAGGGGTGTTATGAGCATCCGACACACCCAGTCCTTGGCCTTGAGTTGGGGTCCCCCATAGGGGGTCTGTGGAGAGTCTCACTTTTTTTCCAGCTCTTTTGCTGGAATCCACACTCCCAGCACGACGGGTGACTTGGTCCTAGAGAGGGGTCTGGAGAGCCCCCAGGAAGCAGCCCAGGGGCAGGGAGGAGGGCTCCTGTGCCCACTCCTGAGGGTGTGAGAGCCCACCTCCTCTCCTCCTTCTCCTTCCCCCAGGCTGGGCAGGAGTAGAGGGGAGGGGAGCAGGGCTCCAGCCTCCACTGAGCCCCAGGGCCCTCCGGATGGGTGGAAGAGGGGTGGAGGGAGAGGGTCTTGGCCACCAACAGACACTGTAAACTTTGGTTTAAAACAATAACTTAAGTGGAGGGAGGGCTTCCAGCCTGGGGCCAGGGCGGGAGACTGGGAGGGCAGGTGCTGGGGAGGTGACAAAGGAAAAAGCCAACAAAAAGTTTTGGTTTTTGCTTCCGGCATAAGAAAGGTCTTTGGTCATCCGTTTAACTTGGGGGGAGAGGGGGGTGCAGGGAAAGGGAGCCAAGGGAGGGTGAGGGAGAATGCAGAGGAAGGGGAGCTGAGGGAGGTGGGAGGACTGCAGAGGGGCCTGCAAGCTGGATGTGGGTGTGAAGCTGGGGTCCAGCCTGGCCTCCCCCTGGGCTCCCAATGGCCCAGGCCCCGCCTGTGGCCTCAGGGGGAGCTTGGCTCCACCTGCAGAGCGCACCAGGCAGACCTCTGTGGGTGAGACGGGCACTGGGCCTCTTACTATGGGGTGGCTAGAGGAGCCCCCAGCAAATGAGGGTGGGGGTCGGGGCAGAGGCCTGGCTCAGCCTGGTTCTGTCTCAGGTTGGGGGCAGGGCTGGAGCCAGGTGGGCCAGCTTGCACAGATCCCCACAGGGCATACAGATGGTCCCACCCCAGCAGTGGAGGGGGCCATTTCTTCTGGGATGGTCTGGAACTGCAGTTCCTCCACCCAGGCCAGGGCAGGTAGGAGCTAGGGGTGGAGTTCTTTCTTCACAGTACGGAAAAGAAGGTGGAAGGGAGAAGGAATTAGGTAAGCAGGGGCCTCTGGCCAGAAAACGAGGCCACAGCCAGGTGCCAGGAGGCCCTGGGTTTGAGAGGGGTGGCTAAGCCCCGCCTGCGGGTCTCCATGGCGCTGAGGGGCCCTGTGGGGAGAGCTGGTGGGGGAGGAGGGCCCTGATGCTGCTGGTGGTTGGGGGTAGGCGATTTCAGATGTGGGGAGGGTCTGAGGAGGGGTCTGAACCCTCCGTGTCCTCTACTGGTCCCAGACCAGGGGTTGTATCCCTGGGGGTGGGGACCGCCCCTGCCCCTGTGTGTTTTTGTCAGGTCACACTGGGAGCTGCTGGCCCGGGCCTCCCCCGTTCTGAGTCCTGGACGTGTGCCTTGAGGCTCGGGAGGGGCTGTGGAGTGGGGGGAGGTGGGGCCTGGATTCTGGGAGGGTCTCACCCCAGCCCCTCGGGTCCCTACATGCCCTTAGGACAGTTCTTCTCCCGGCAGCTCCTCCTCCAGGTCCCTGTCTTCCGGAGGCCCTGAGGCGCTGGGGTTGGGGGCGCCCAGGGAAGGCCCGGGCTGCCTGTCTTCCTCCGCCTCTGCTGGCTCCTCCTTCACCTGCACCTGGTGGCTGAGGCAAAAGTATGGCATGGACACTTGGGGGCTGTCCTCTGATCCCCTCGGCCCCCTGCTCCCCAAACTCACCCAGAACTCTGGGGACAGTGGGGTGCCCACAGCCCCTTCCCCAGGATCCCATCAGCACTGAGGCTTCAAAGAAAAGTCAATGCTGGGTCACAGACTACTCTGGGTTGGGGAAGAGAAAAAAGGGGAGCAAAGGGGAGATGAGCAAATGGAGGAAGGAGAAGAGAAGAGGAGCTGGGCGTGGCAGTTCACACCTGTAATTCCAGCACTTTGCGAGGCTCAGGCCAGTGGATCACCTGGGGTCAGGAGTGCGAGACCAGCCTGGCCAACATGGTGAAACCCTATCTCTACCAAAAATACAAAATGAGCCGAGTGTGGTGGCACCTGTAATCCCAGGTATGGGGCTGAGGGGCGCTGAAGCAGGAGAATTGCTTGAACCTAGGAGGCAGAGGTTGCAGTGAGCCAAGATCTCACCATTGCACTTCAGCCTGGGTGACAGAGCATGACTCTGTCTTAAAAAAAAAAGAAAAAGGAGAGAGGAAGAGAGAGAGAGAGAGAGAGAAGGAGGAAAAGTAAAAAGGAAGGAGGAAAAGAGGAGGAAGAGGTGGGGAGAAGGGAGAGAGGGTAAGAAGAACAGGCAGGTGGGAGAAGGGAGGGCTGAGAGGGCTGCTGAGGTGAAGGAAGAGAGAGGCCACTTGTCCTGGGGAGAGGCATGGTGGGGGTGGGATGGAGAACCCCACCCAGAGGAGGAATGAGGCCTCCTCTCTGGTGCTTGAGGGGCACTGGGATGGGTGGGAGTCTGTGCTGTGTGCTCACCTGTACTGGGGTGGGGAGAGGCGAGGGGGGCTGCTGCTGCCATTGCTGGACAGAGGCTCCAGGGGTGCGCCCACGTCATCGTGGCTGAGGGGCAGGAGGCTGCTGGTGGAGCCAGGGTTCAGCATGCCGGGGCTGTTGAGGAGGGGGAAGCTGCTCTCGGCCAGGGCGGCCTGAAGGGCACAGGGTTGGGGCCCGTCAGTGGCTCCACAGGATGGGGCACACCTAGTCAAGTCTGTGCCCTTCCCACCTGCTAGAGAGCCCCCTGAGTGTCTGTCTGCTGGCCCCATGGGCAGATCTGTCTGGGCACCCCTAAGTCCCAACTCAGCCTTTGAATGAAGCACCCCTCCCATGGCTGGAACTCTGACCCCCACCTCCTACCTCCCAGCTTTCCTGGAACCTAGGCCTGGCTTATCTCCTCTCCCAGGGGACAGAGAACACCCAGACTGACAAACCAGGAAAGGGGATGCTACGGGTATGCCCCCCTCCCGGCTCTCTGCCTGTCTTGTCTGAGCCCAGCCTTGAAAGCAGAGGTGGAGGCTGGCCCCGAGTTGGGGTGAGGCAGAGAGGTGGGGTCTTGGGGAGTTTGGGTCTTCACCCTCCTTCCCTCCTCTGGTGAGTCCTCTGCAGGGGAGGACGGGAGTCTCTTGCATGAGAAAGCAAGGGGGTGGGAGGTAGAGGTGAGTGGGTGGGCTCTGGGCCAGTCACCTGGTAGCTGGCATTAAGTGCTCCATAGCTGAGGCCCGAGATCATGTTCTTCACCAGGGTGGGGCTCCTGGAGGACAGAGAAGGCCGGCTTTGGCTCACTCATTCTCTTAACTATTCATTTGCATCCTTTACTCCCACTAAGTACGGGCCTGTGCTGGGGCAGGGACTGGCGCATTCCTTATCCCCGGAGGCCAGAGCAGATCAGCCACCGTCTCAGAGCCGTGGGTGTGCTTGCTCTGATTCGGTTCTCACACTGACCTGGCCATGCAGGAGCAGCCCCTTCACAGTTGGGCGCAGGGAGCTTGGTTCGGGGACCTCCAGGTCTTGGAGCTGGGAAGTGGGACCTGGTACCCATCCCCGCAACGTCTGCTTTCACAGCACGCCGCCCTCCACCACCCCCATTTTCTCTCTCTGGTCTAGATTTTCCAATGTTTGGCAAGATCCGAGCTACAGCCTCGATAGTTCCACATCTGCTCTGCCCACACCGTCTTGCCATCCTGGATTCTGGGACATGTCAGACATGCCTCAGTCTGTCCCCACATGCTCCATTCAAAAGGCTTCTCTGCACTGGAAGGTGTTTGGGAGTCGGGACAGGAAATGCAATGGCTCGGTGCTGTCCCTCTTCCACAGTGATGACACCATCAGAGAGCTCTCACACAGCTTAAAGAAACGGCCAAGGGTCACCAAACTGGTGAGAAGCAGAGGTGCAAGTGCAGCCAGGCCTTCTGATGTAACTTGGTAATGAGACATGCCAGTACCCGGCCACCTGGGGACTGGCCCCTGGGGCATTCACCTGGGGATGGCTTCCCTCCGTCTTCCAGGCTCCCACACTGCCTGGGGTGCAGAGGCTCCTGCCTGGAGAGCAGGCATCTTTGAGGGGAGCAGACACCCCACACCCCAGAGGCATCCATCTAACTTGCTCTCCTCTCCTTACCCAGGGGCTCTGGTCCAAGGGGCACAGCAGGTGGGTGGATGGGGTAGGGGTGTTTGGGGTGGGGAGAAGGCCACGGCTGCTATGTGGAAGCCAAAAGGGATTCTGACCCTGTTTCCATTTAAACTGTCAGATGGAGGCTGGGCGCGGTGGCTCATGCCTGTAATCCCAGCACTCTGAGAGGCCAAAGCAGGTGGATCACCTGAGGTCAGGAGTTCAAGATCACCTTGGTCAACACGGTGAAACCCCGTCTCTACCAAAAATCACAAAAATTAGCTGGCCATGGTGGTGCGTACCTGTAATTCCAGCTTCTCAGGAGGCTGAGGCAGGAGAGTCGCTTGAAGCCATGAGGTGGAGGCTGCAGTGAGCCAGGATCACACCACTGCACTCCAGCCTCAGCAACAGAGCAGGACTCCCTCAAAAAAAATAATAGGCCAGGCATGGTGGCACACACCTGTAATCCCAACATTTTGGGAGGCCAAGGCGGGTGGATCATCTGAGGTCAGGAGTTCGAGACCAGCCTGACTAGCACGGTGAAATGTCGCCTCTACCAAATGCAAAAAAATTGGCCAGGTATGGTGGCAGGCACCTGTAATCCCAGCTACTTGAGAAGCTGAGGCAGGAGAATAGCTTGAACCCAGGAAGTAAAGGTTGCAGTAAGCCTAGATCATGCCACTACACTTCAGCCTGGGCAACAAGAGTGAAACTCCATCTCAAAAAAAAAAAACCAATAAAATTAAAATAAATAAATAAAATGCCAGGTGGAAAAGCCGAGCAGGAGGTCAGAGACCTGGTCCTGAAACTAGCTCTGCCACAAACCAGACCTGGTCCTGAAACCAGCTCCCACCAGCCCCTGGCTCTCACTGGTCCTCCTCTGCCATAAGATAAATTGGTGGGGTCCCTGGGACCTCAAAGGTATACACATTCTGATGAGCTGAGGAAGCAGGTACCCTGGGGGTGGCAGCCCCTCACCCAGGGCCCACTGGCTGGCATCTGCCTGTGTGCCAGCTCTGGCCTGGGCTACTTGGGGCCTCTGTCTCTCTTAGCTACCAGGCCTCCCGCTTGACTCCTTCCCTCAGCCATAGTGAGGCCAGAAAAAGACGTGCCTGCTTTCTGATGATCCATTACTTCCAGATTCCAGCCACCCCCCACCACCACCCCGTGCACTAATCTCCGCTCCTTTCTCCCCACAACCCTTCCCCCGGCCAGGAAGGATCTGGTGCACATGGGCACCCTGGAGAGGCAGGAGGTGGGGGTGAGCTGGCTCCTGCCCCTCTTGCCCCCCCCGGCAGGTACACCCCATCCAGCTTTGGAGCCACATACCCTGTCATCTTTGGCGGTCTCCGCTTCTGATATTCCCGCTCGTCCACAGTCCACACGGCACCCTTGACGTTCTCCACACGGACGAAGCACTTGTGCAGGCTGAGGTTGTGGCGCACGGCATTCTGTGGGTGCAGGGAGAAGGAGCTCAGAAGCAGCTTGCTTGGCCAAGCGCAAACAGGACAGTCCTCGTCCAGTCCCAAGTCCCAGGCAGCAGCAGCCCTCCTTCCCCAGCTCAGGGATGAGCAGGAGAGGGGGTGGGCTGGGAGGAGACCCGGCCAAAGGGAAGGCAGGCCACTACGCTTTCCATAGAGCCAGGGGCTCCCAGCCTCTTCACCACAAATGACCCATTTTATTAGCTGCCTTCTCTTTCCCTGCCACATGGTGGAAAGTTCTGTCTACCAACTAAATGCTATCTAGTTAGTAATAATCTATTCCATCATCTTCATTAATCAAAGACACATGTAACTGTTATTCAAGACTTTGGATCAGCAGCTGATCACATTCAGGCCCGGGATCTCTGCAAGCCCGGGGTGCTTTATCTCCAGTGCATGCAGAATTTTCACTAAGCTTTTAAAAGTTTGGGAAAGAGCTCACGAACCCTCACTGCCTCGTCCACTGACCCACATGAGTCTGGGCGCCGTGCTTTGAGCTGTGGCTCAGAACAGGTAGCTTGTGTTTTGAGAGCAGGAGGTATACAGTAGAGGCCTCATACAGACTTGTTGAAATAAACAGGGAGAGAGGAGAGTGTGGGTTGACAGCTGAGAGGCAGAAAGAGGAGAGAAAGAGGTAAGTCACCTTGTCTGTCCCACCTCCTCCTGGAGGGATAACTTCAAGAATTGAGGTCATCTGGTTTGTAGGACGCCTGGGTGATGGTGGGGGTGTGCTTGGCCCAAATCTCCCCCTCGCCGCCTTGGGAGCCCAGACTACGGCCCTAGTCCATCTCTGGGCGTGTCCCTCAGTCCTGCCCCGCACCCTCCTCTTGAAGCTCCCAGTCATCACCGCCCCTGCCTGCATCCCTGCCCCTGTTACCTGTCCTCCCTCAGCCTCCCCCGCCTCGTCCCCATCCTTGTCTCCTCTTTACATTTCTAAACGGGGAAGAAAGCGGGCAGGGCAGGCAGCCTGTGCCCCTGGAGATCCCCTCTCCCTCTCTCCCTTCCAACTCTTGCCACTTGCAACTGGCCCGATTTCATTACCAATTTTAATTTGCCTCTAATTAAATCCTGTGTATTTTTCCGACTCGCTTGCTAATCCACGAGGGAGGCGGGCGGCTGGAGTGGAATCTCTTGGAGCGATAATTACAAAGGGCCTAATCACGCCGGGGCTCCTGCCTCGGAATAAATTTGCCCGCATTACGGGGCTCCAATCCTCCGCTTTGCAAATGAGAATGACCCCAATTTCCGAGGATGGCCTCACCGGGGCTTTTTTCCCTCATTTCGAAGCCTGATTCGTGATGAGAGACTAATTCGTTACGCTGAAACATTAACGGCAATTTAAGGGGTCTGGCGGGGGCTGCATAAACAAAAGGACGGGCCCACAACACGGGCCTTGGGAGGGGATGGACACGGGGAGGGCCAGCAAGGACCATCAGCTTGGCAGATGGCAGCTCTGTCCCTGGATGAACGGCAGCTGGCTGGGCCCACACTATGCCCACTCCCAACCCTTCTGCCTTGGTCTGAGGTGGAAAGTATCTCAGGGTGGGAGGCAGCAAAGGTGAAGAAGGAAATGAAGGAAGCACACATAATTTGGGAGAGGAGCAGAGATGACCTGAGGGACTGATGAGTGGAAGGTGGAAGTGGAAGGGAAGCAGAGTTGAGTGTAGTTAGGACATGTTTCCCAAGTAACATGAATGAATTTGGCTGAAAATAAGAAGGTCAAAGTGGACCTCAAGCTGGACGGAGTCTGCTGTGCCATGAGGAAGGCTCAGGCAGTGACCTCAGGCAGCAGACGTAGCAGCAGAGCACTGCTAACTGGGAAAGTCACCTACTTAGTCACGCAATTTCTCCAGCCCAGACAGCTTCTTACCTGGCCCTAGACTAGGTGAGGGGAGATGGGAGTGAAGAACTAGGAGGGAGACACACACCACAGAGATGTCAAAGGCTGGGCTATGCAAGGCCAGCAGGGTTAGAATATCAATATCAGGGGATGGCTTCAGCATGGTCACTGAGTGGCTTAAGGAAGTCACCTAAACCAGCTCCTCGTGACCTCAAAAGTAGAGAGAATTAGAAAATTGCAGCAGGGTAGAGCAGGTAAGAGAGAAGGAAGGAAGGAAGGAAGGAAGGAAGGAAGGAAGGTAGGTAGGTAGGTGGCTTAGCAGTACTTTGCCCCCAAAGAGGAGGCTGTCTATGGAAAGGAGGCTCTATATTGCTACTCCTAAAGGCAAAGCATTTATATGCATTATTAAACATTAGGCAATAATTATAATGATTCCTTACGTTTGTATAGGACCCTATCATTTATAAAAACCTGGTATCTGAACTGACTTGGAGGTTGGAGATTGGACCAGGTGGTCCCAAGCAAGCCCTGCTGGCTCAGAAAGAGGGCAGGACTGTGGTTGGCAAAAATTAACATCACTCACAGCCAATTAGAGCAACTGTCCCAGCGTCCCAGCTTCTCTCCCAAGGTTTGGGAATTGCGCATGGGGATATGAAAGTCATGATTCAGTCCCTCCTGCTCCACTTAGCACACTCCCAGGGCAAAGGCAGGCAGGCACTGCGCAGACCCCACCAAGTCCTGGTCACTGGTGGGGAGGAGGGGTTCAGTAACACTTGTTGAAACCTAGTGGGATTGGGGGAGGTAGCCCATTTAACTGCAGTTTCTACACTGGCCAGCAGGGGGACTCAAGAGCCAGGGATGCAATTAAGGTTCTGTGATAGGGACTTCTTCCCCGTGTCTAACCTTCCCTGCAGGGGCCAATGCTCTCTCCTCCTTCCCACATCCCTCTACCAATTTAGATATCGCTTTCTGACCTTGCTGCAAGTGTGCATGCACACATGCATACATCGCGCGCACGTGCGCGCGCGCGCACACACACACACACACACACACACACACACACACGCCCCCATCTTGACTATAGAAAAATAAATGGCCTAGTGCCCCAGCATCTCTGTGTCCCATTTTTCTAGGGTCCCCTTCTTGCCTGCTTCTGGTCTCCCAGGAAAACTTATGGCTGAAGGTGCTGAAATGACTAATTGGATGGAAACAATTATCTTCCTGCTAGGGATGGCAGAGCCGGGGAGGGCTATGAGTGCCGTCAGTGCCCCAGTGTGTGGTCTACGGCTCTTGGTCCATCCGTGTGTCTACACCTGCACCTCCCCAGCCCCACCGCAGGCTTCAGAACATGCACCTTAAGCCAAGGTATCCAGACCCTTAGGGTCTCTGTGAATTCAGCCCTGGCTGAATGTACCAAGCTTGGGCATTACCAACTCCTAGAAGCCCTATTTCATGGGGCTGGCGTCTTTGGGGCCCTTCACCCTAGAGAAGAGGACTGCTTCCCAGAAAGGAGGCAGCACCAGGCTGGAAGGAAGGGATCATAAAAAGGCGGTTCTGGAACAACCCACAGCTCCTGCTGAGGGGGGTGTGGGCATGCAGCCCTGGCTGGACTCTGGGGCGACTGTTCCTACAGAACTAATGGTTTAGGGAACGAATTGTTAGGCAGCCTTGGTCTCCATGGGATATGGAAGGTCCAAGGGTGACTGGGGCCCAGAAGGTGGAAGGGTCCTGCCTCACCTTCCAGGTGGCAGTGTTTCTGCGGAAATAGGCGAACATCCTGGTGAACCAGTTATAGATCTCATTCAGGGTCAGCTGCCTGTCAGGGGTTTCCAGGATGGCCTGCAAGCAAGAAACAAGCAAAGGGACCATCAGCCTGGGCCTTGAAGGGTCACAGCCCTGGGTTCCCGCTGCCAGTATCTCCCCCTTCTGCCTGGCCCTGAGCTCACCGTGTGAGAAGACCTGCTCAGAAATGTGTGGGTAAGAAGATGGGTGGTGGCTGGTGTGTCCCCTGAGAGGGACAGGCTGGTTACAGCCTGGCCAAGGATAAAGGGGGCAGGTGCCTCCAAGGGCTATGTATTTGTACAAAGAGGATTGGAGCTGCTCCTGGAGAAGCACCTGGCCTGCACCGAGTGACAGCAGTCAGTCCTGTCTTTCTTGTGAGAGATGTCCACAGGGTGGAGGCTGTTTGAAGTCTATCTTGATTTTGGCAAAAGGCACCCTAAGCACAGTGTGTGTGTGAGAGAATGTGTGCAAGGGTGTGCATGCCTGTGTGGGGCATCAGGGAGGATGTACGTGTCCATGTATGTTCACGCTTGAGTGTGAATATTACATGAACACTGGTGACATGAAGATCATGGGCTCAAAGGAGGAAAGAGGAAGGAGGCAGACAAAGAGTGACCCTGAGTCTATCATGGGGGTCTGTGTACATGGAAATGAGCGCATGAACGCCACAGCAGGGGTCGGTAGGAAGAGCAGAGTGTGCACCCTCAGAGACACATGACCCTACGCAGCAGGCTGATGGGGCTCAGCCCGCAGGAGAGACTGCACAGCAGACAGGGAAGACATTGGTGTGAGACGGAGCCAAAAGGCTATGCTACCTGGCCCCAGGACCATTCTGGAGACAGGGGTGTGATGGCGGCTGGGGGAGGTGCCTTTGTGCCATTCCCGGCCCTGCTCACCTGGCGGATGAGGGAGGCGTAGGTGAAGGGGGGCCTGACGTCGGCGTTCTTGTAGAACTCATGATTCTGGGCCAGCTCTGGGGAAACAGGCAGAGAGTGAGGTAGCCAGACATGGGGCCCAGCTAGGAAAAACAGCCTCTCTCTGCAGCTGCCCTGTAGCTCCCAGCCCGCCCTTACCTGAGGAGATGGGGGAGCAGAACTTGTCACTGCTTCTCCGACGGGCTGGGCCCCCACCATGCAGGGAGGCAGAGCCCAGGCCAGGGGGCCGTAGGGGGGTGACAGGGGCTGCGGCCGAGGTCGGGGGGTGCACAAGACCATCTGGGAACGAGTCTGCTGCAGAGACGGTCACCTTGGAGAATGAGGAGGAGTCAGGGACCGGGTTCAGCTGTGAGCAATGGGGAGGGTACTGAGACCAGTGCCCGAGGTGGGGGTCCCGAGGCTCCAGGGGCTGTGGAAGGCTCTGGGAGGCGTGGGGAGGGCAGCAGCACTCACCGGTTGGCTGAAGGGCTTGGGCTCCGAGGGCCGCATGTGCAGGTGGGCCATCATGGCCTGCAGCCGCTCGCTCTCCTTGGCGAGCTGTGGAGGGTGGCAAAGCAGGTGAGCAGGAGGCTGAACCCTGGAGGTAGTGACGTCCCACCCCTCCACTGCCAGGCCCTTCAGAAGGCTGCTGGTTCCCACCCCCATTTGCCTCCTGGCCTCAGCATCCTAGCTCCCTCTGTCCCCTGCTCCAGGGAGACCTCAGCAATGCTCTGCCCCTCAGGGGCTGCCAGCTCTAGGAAGCCTCTCCCTTTCTCCCCCGGACGGTGACCATTTAGGTCCTCCCAGAGTGTCCTGGCTGAGCTCATCCCTGCCTCTACACGTTGGGGAGCTTCTTCCTACCCACCCACAGAGGACGGCCACTGGACCTCGTGCAGTGGCACTTGTGTGTGAGGGCCTTGAATACTGAATGCAGACGCAGGAATGGGTGGAATGGCTGACGCCCCATTCATAAACTCAATGGGTCTTTCAGAGACCACCCTCTTACAGCAGGGCGCTCTGCTAGGTGCCGGAGGGACAGGGTAAGCACGGAGGAGCTGCCCTGAGTCGCTTCCTGGGAACGGTGTGCTACCGAGTGTCCCCTCCCAAGTAAATGGGAGACTCCCTCGGGAGAGCCAGGCTGCCTGGGTTCTAATCCCAGCCCTGCCGCTCGCAGGCAACTCACTTTAGCTGTGTGCCTATTTTCTCCATCTGGAAAATGGGGAGAACAATGGTACCCACCACATAAGGTTGTTGAGAGGATTCCTTGAGCTATATAAAGTATTTAGTACAGCACAAAGTAAGTGCTCCATATGTTAGCAGTTAATATTATTTTTGATGTTGCTATGTAGCGTGAGTCTCTTCTGGACCTCCCAGCAGAGACGCCCCCAACCTTGGTTTACCCCTCAGAATCCAGCTGTCCTCACCTCACAACCATGGTCATTAGGACCTAGAAAGCATAAGATGGTGGCTTTGACCATAGGACCCTTCCATGAGACCCCCCCAACAGAGCCCACCTAGCAAGTCAGTGCTGTGGGTGGGCAGGGGCTGGAGCCCGCCAGGTCCCTCCCCAGCATCCTCCGGGCCACACCTGGATCTCCAGCTGCTGCACCACCTGCATCTGTACCCGACACTGGGCCGTGCTCCGGTCATCCAGGGCGTGCTCTGTGTTGAGGTGTCTTCAAGGGTAGGGGAGGAGGAGAGAAAGTTGGCTTGGGTTTCCCTGCTGCCACCATCCTCCCATCCTATCCTCTAACCCCACCCACAGCCTGAAAAGCAGACGGACCAAGAGACACAAAGAAGAGAAAGAGGTGGGAAAACGGGGCAGTGGAGGAAGGCTTTTCCCTTCTAGTCAGCCTCCTTTGATGTCTTTGCTAAAATCCCAGCTACAGAGAGATCTAATTGCAAATGAACTAATTAAGTAAACCTCTGACGAAGCGTGAAAACAATTTGTTTGACCCTGATGCTGCAAGGGTCTGAGAGACAGCAGAGTTAATCAGTCAGTGACAGAGCCTGGCACGGCTGTGGCAGCTGGCCGCCTGCTGCCAGCCGCCTGTCCGCCTCCCATCCTGCCTGTCCTGGGCCCTCAGCCTGTCACTAGCCATCACTCCCCAGGGCTGAGGCTGGAAGGGAGCTAGGGAAGGTGGGGGGTGGAGAAATGCTTATGTTTGTCCTCTCCTTCTCCTTCTACCCCCACTTTGTGCTGGGGAGGGGGCCGGGGGAATGCAGGCCTGGGAATATAGACAGGGTAGGGAGTGGGTGCTCAGCGAGTCTGTCAGGGGCAGAGAAAGAACTAGAACCCCCTGGAGTGAGGACAGTAGTACAGCTAGTGAGGAGGGCCCCCAGAAGGGGTAAGCTAGTGGGCAGGCTTGGGGGAGGGGCCCTATGGGGAAAGGCTGATGGGGGAGTGGCTGGGGGTGACACCTACTTGATAAACTGGCCCAGGTCTTCACACAGGGTCTCACAGCCTGGCCACTTGCACTCTCCGTGTCCATACAGGGGGTGGGAGCCAGGGGTCTCCTCGTGGGAAGAGCTGGGAGGACAGCAGGGAGGTGGCGATCAGGAACCTTGAAGACCCCAGTGGCCCTGTGCTCAGCTGAGCTCCAGCTCCCCTGCTGGTGACATTTCTGCCCCTAATACAGGTTTCCCAGAGGCCAAGCACCATCTGTACACCCGGGAGAGGGAGTGAACCTCCAGTCCCTAGGCTCCACCCCTCCCTCCCAGTCCCCATCACAGGGCCAGCCCTCCGGAGCAAGGTCTAGCCCCAGGCAGGGCTTTGGTGCCCCTCCCAGCCTGGGCCCCTGTACCTGTCTCTCCGAGATGTGAGCACAGTGGGCTGTCCGTTGGGCAGGGTATGGTGGGAGAGGGAGGGTGAGACCTTGGGGGGGGCGGCGAACGAGGTAGCAGTGGCGGCCGTGCCAGTGAGGTCCAGCCCCTCCTGCTTGACGCTGTCCTCAGCAGGCTGCCCGGGGGCACCCTCGCCCTTCCACAACTGGGGCAGGTCTGTTGGGCAGACAGCTGCTGTGGGAGAGACAGGGGAGGCTGGCAGGGCCCCACGAACACTCGGCTTTCTACCTGGCCCCCGAGAGCAGGGGCTGCCAGCTCTCGGGTACAGGCAGGGCTGTGGGGTTGGGGCTGGGAGGGGAGGAGTGGTGGGCGCTCACCTTGCGGAAGGGTCTGGAGGGGCCCCGAGGCTTGGCTGGGCTGCAGGCTGACCAGCCCCTGCCTCTGCAGGTTGAGCAGGTGCTGCTGCTGCAACTGTTGCATTTGCAGGAGCTGCTGCTGGAAGGCCAGCTGCTTGTTCCCCAGCGCCTGGTGAGGGGCCCGAGGGGGTGGGCAGAGAGGGGTGCCATCAGCTTCAGGCATGCCATCTGGCCCCCACCCTGCGGCCACCCCCTCCCAGGGTCTGTCAGCCCCTGGAGCTGTCGTTGTGGCGTCTGCAGCTGCAGCGTCTCTGCTCCCGGCCCAGCTTCCATAAGGCTGCATGCCTCCTCGCAGTAAACACACGCATGCACGCACGCACGCACGCGCGCAAACACACACAGCCAGACCCAGACACGCAGCACGACGCCCTCCCTCCTCCCGCCTCCCTCCTTCCGCTGCTTCAGCTCCCTGCACCGCAGCTGTGCACGCCTGGGGGGGGGGCCTCATCACAATGATCGATGAGCCTGTCAGATTCTGGGGGCCGCTCCTGCCTGGAGGGCACCCTTCCCACATGCCCGGGGTGCCCCGCTTCTGCTCTGGGGAGGGAGTTTTCTCTCCCCCAGCTCTTTTCCTCTCTTGCTTTTTAGATACAGAGAATCAAGGAGTCTGAGCGGGACTCACTGGGACCCAGGCTCAGACAGCAGTCACATCACTACTGCCCAGGCACCCTGTGCTCGCTGGCTCACCCGCTCTGCCTACCCCCACCCATTCAGTTCTTCACACAGGCACTGACAAGTCAGGCTGGTAGCAAGTCTTTTCTGAGTCCCAGGAGCCAAGCATGTTCTGGGTGGGTTGAGAAGCAGGGACGTCTCTGCCTGCCTGCTGGGGGTGGGAAGGATGGGGTAGGGTGGGGGCTGGCTATTCAATACAGAGACACAGGATAAACCCAACCTAGAGATTTAGTGGCCGATAACACAGCAATTACAAGACTGCTGAGGGGGAGACTGGGGGTGCTAGAGAATGCCTGGGTGTCAGGGCAGCGTTCCCAAAGAGGAAACTTAGAGCTTGAGGCTGTGGTTGAGCAGCAGGAGGGATACACAGGTCTGGGACCCAGGGGAGAGGGGCCTCCGGGACCTGGTATGGAAACTCGGATGGGGCAGAGGGTGTAGGCTGGGGAGCTCTGAGAGGAGACGGAGGGGTGGCTGGAGGGACAGGGCAAGACATGACAAAAACGGGAAGAAGCTAGGGCAGGCCAAGGTGAGGGGAGGTGGTTTGCTGAGGGACTCGGAGATTCTCGGGACAAGGAGGGGAGGGCTGAGGTGCTGGGTCATGAAAAGACAACAGGGCAGGAAGATGGCATGACCACAAGGCAGCTGCACATGAGCGTGGCCCGGCAGACGCCACACATGGGGGATGCACGCACACACCTGTCTACACCCATGTGCACAGAGACAACAACACAAGGCAAGGAGAGGAAGAACGAATGAGGATGCGAGGAGATGGAGACACACAAGAACCACCATCTTTCCCTCCACGCTGCTCCTTGGTCCCCTCTTCCTCAACCTTTTCTTGATTTTTCTACTATTCCTGCAAGGCAATTCCCTCCTGGCTGGCTCTGGACACCCAGCCTCTGGGCAGGAGGTGGGGGCGGTGGTGGGCCCTGCTACAGCCCCTTACCTCTTTGGGCTGCGGTTTCCCAGCCTGCTGCTGGGTGAGGAGCTGCAGGTGGAGCTGCTCCTGCTGCTTCTTGTAGTACTCCTGCAGCTGGGGGTGGGGGAGGATTACCACTGGCAGGGGATTGCTGTCCCCAGAACAACCCCAGCCCTGTCCCATCTGGGCTCCTGGGGGCAGGAGAGGGAAGTTTCCCTAAAATGTGGACTGGCTCTCCCTAGTCTGCCTGGAGGGTCCCTAAGCAGGGCCTGGGTGTGGAGGAAGGAGGTAAGGGATGGGTGGGGGTGGGGTGGGGTGTTCATTCCCACAGCTCTGAACCCTCCCAGCTTTTGGTGGATCTCCTGAACAGGTCACAGGGGACAAGGTACCAGATGTTCCAGTACTTTTCCCTTCCCTGCAGTTCAGGAGATAGAAGTGGGGCCAGCATGCAGGGAGGGAGGATGGGGGAGTATTGTGGGGGTGGGGCTGCCAGGAGAGATGCCTGACCTTTGACCTCTCCCCACTACCGTAGAGGAATGCAGATCAGTCTAGCCTGAGCAGTCCCTCTGGTTTCTGGGACAGTTTGGGCCCTCCATGAGGTGTAAACAGGGTGAGAGGAGCCAGGCCAGGCAGAGGAGGAGCAGCTGCCCTGGGGCCAGACTCACCTGCTGGAGCATGAGGGCTTGCTGCTGCTGGAGCAAGGCCTGCAGCTGTGGGGGTGACAGGATCTGCTGCATCTGTTGCGGGGTAAGCATCTGCGGCGACATCATGGCCACTGACACGGGCACCTGCAGGATTTGGCAGGTTAGCCCCATCCCCTCGACCCCGCCCCAGGAGGAGGCACCACCCAGGGCCCCACTCACAGCATGGCAGAGTGGCTCCCAGGGAAGCTGCCTGGGTTCCAGTTCTGGCTCTGCTGTCTGCTGGCTATCTCTCTGGACAGTGACTTACCTCCCTGTTGTCCGTTTTCCTTATGTCTAAAATGAAAACAATGATAGCACCTACCTATTAAGGTTACCATAAGGACTAATCAGTGAATACTTAAGACAAGGCCTGGCACACAGCAAGTATATGTAAGGGCTGGCTATTATCGTAGGACATGCTGTCCTCAGAGCAGGAAGATTAGGCCCTAGTGACACTGGTCAGTAGAACCCACGCTTTGGCTGGTTCCCCCCAGTAATGGGGAGGGGCAGCACACCAGGCCACTCCTAGTCTCACGCAGTCTATTTTGAGACCACTTCCTGCAAGGAGGGCCTGGCTGGGAGGGCAGCCTACAGCATGAGAAGGATTCAAAACGTGGCCCACCTGGCACGAGGACCTGCCCTTTGTCCCCTCTCACACAGACCTCACACACCCTGACACACCTGCCTGGAAGGCACACACAGTGGCCAGAGTTGAAGCCCACGGAGTAATCTTGGAGTCATCCTGATCCTGGTGTGTGTGCATGTGCAGAGCTACGTCTAGCATGGGGTGGAAAGAACGGCAGGGGAGTTAGCAGGGGCAAGCTTCGGCTCCCAGCTCTGCACTGAACTTGCTGTGTGACTCTAGCAAGCCACTTGCTCTCTCTTATGTTTCAGTTTCCTCAAACATAAAACATCAGAGACTGGGCTGTAAGAGACAATTCCTTCTAGGCTGGAACATTCAGGATTCTCAAAATAGAACAGCTTTCTGCCTCCTGCCCTGGGTCAGGCCTTTATAGAAGGCCCAAAGAATCCAGTGACAGGGAAAAGATTCAGAGAAAAGCAATGACATCGTTCTCTTCCCAGCCCCACCTCCCCTGAAACCCCCAGGCTTGTGCAGTTGTGGCCAGGCAGGTCTAGGCGGCTATGTTGTCTTGTTCCTGTGTTAGCAGGACAGGTGCCCTGATGGGGCTGTCTGCCGCCCCTCCACTATGGGACCCCATGCATACAGGACTCCTCTAATCTCCTCTCTCACTCCTAAGCTCTGGCAGAGTCCCTGACACACAGTAGGTACTCACTGTTTGCCCTCCTGAGCTGAAATGCCTTTCCCAGCTCCTCAGAGGCCCCTTTGCCAGCCCTGGGGCAGGAAGGGAAGGGTACAGGGCTCGCCCAGCCAGGGAGGAGTGCTGTGCAGGGACTTGTCCTAGGCTGTGACAGGTTAGGTCCTCAGGGAACTCTCCCCCAAGCCTCGGCCCCACCTGTGGGGCAGAGGAGGAGGAGGTGGTTCTCTTTTCAATCCCTGGCAGGCGCCCGACTCAGCCTTGAACCACCCCTTAAGCCATGGATTAGGAAATCCCCAGGCAGAGAAGCAACCAGGGAGGTACAGTGAATCCAAGGACATCGGGGAATCCCACTGCTCCCAACACCCACGCTCACCCCACCACTAGCAGCTGCCCCCACCCTGGGCTTTACTCCTTTATCCCAGCCCATCTCTATCCACATATCCCCAGGACAGGTAACACCTAGCTCTTTAGTCATGGATATACCATGTGAATGAAGGCTCCAAGGGACCTCTAAGCCAGTGGGGGATGTGCCCATAGGAGTGTTTTTTGTTTCTTTTAACCTCACTTTTAACCAATGAGGAGATCAGAAAAGTCTGGCACCCCTAAGTGGCAGGGTTGGGATTCAAGCCCAGGTCTGCATACTCCATGGCTCCAGGGTTTTCACATCCTAAGCTGCCTGCCCCGCCCCAGGGCAGGTCTTGAGAAGGGTTAGGGAGAGCATGTGGAGGTGGGACCTCCGGAGGCTGAGGGGGCTGATGAGGCTGAGATCCCAAAGGCTAACTTCCTGCTCTACGGTGGTATCATCCCAGAAGGACTCTCTGGAAAGCCAGGCTGCAGGGGTGGATGAGGGGGCCTGGGGTTGGAGGCAGACAATGGTATAGACCCAACTCCAGAGCCAGCCCCTAAGTCTGTTGTTGGGTGTTCCAGAGGCAGCTGGGGAGGCTGCTCAAAGAAGGTGGGTTTTGGCATCCAAAGACATGGAACAAGTACCACGGACTGTCCTTTTTTTCCTCCTCCCGGGCGGGGGTCGGGGGTTTGCCCAAGAAAGAGAGGCATCCTGGTGGGGGTGAACTCAGAGCCCTAGATTTCTGGGTCAGGTGACCTTGGTTTTTGTCCCTGATATTTACTAGTCTTGAAATCCCAAGCCTCACTTTCCCTGTCAGCTAACTGGGATTTGGGGCACCTGCCCTCCCCGCATCATTAGAGGATGTTGCTGACTGCTTATTACGTGCCAGGCACAGCACTTGGCTAAGGCCTTTATATGTTTATCTCATGGAATCTTCACGGCAACCACGTGAGGATGGTACAATCATCGTCACCATCTCACAGATGAGATGGGGAAACTGAGGCCCAGAGAGGTTCAATAACCTGTCCCAACCCTGACCCTGAAGGGACAGTGGGAGTAGGGGCGAAAGTGACTTGCACGCCATTAAATTCTATATAAACGTAAAGAAAATAACTTTTTAAAACATGCCGGAGTTTTCCTTTCCCCTCTTTCTTTCTCTCCTCCCCTGGTGGGCCTTAAGGGTGCTGCTAGACAAAAGTCACTGAGGACCAAGGCACTAGGCCACTCAGTCTCACTGCTGCGAGAGCTCAACAACAGATGAAAACAGCCTGCAACAGGAGGAACTGAGACCAGACACTCCGAAGATCTTCCCAGGCACCAGGACTGCCAGTCACTGACAGGGTAATTCGAGAAAAGGATGCGGCCTTTCCTTCCTTGGAAGCAGGGGAATGGAAGAGATGACCTTGGAAGGCCTTCTTGGCACTTGCTGCTCCTGCCACTTGGCTGAGCAGCGGCCCGTGGAGGCTGCTACAGAGATCTGGAGAGATTATACGGTGTGCACTCCTCTCGAGGTGGCCCAGTGGGGTCACAAAGGGTCGGGGAAGTGGCTGCTGCATGCTGATCTCCTGAGCTAGTTGACCTCATCCACCTCTCCCCATGCCCCTTGGGGGTCTGAGAACTGAACTGAGCTCCTCTGGTGTCCCTGCTGGCCCTTAAACAGGCTCAGATGCCTCAGGATGGGTGTTCTGCAGCTAGCAGGCTCAGCAGGGCCCAAGAGTCACCATCTGGAGAGGGGCAGCTAAGTGCTTACTGAAGCCCTGGGAGGGTGCGCCCTGGGCTAAACGCCGGCAGCTGCCTCTAGCCCCTCCCTCAGGGACCTGGCACCCACCATGAATACAGTGTGCTCCGCTGGATGGCCTGATTGAAAGGAACAGGGGCAGTGCTTGACACACAGGAAGCTTATTTGATGGCTGAGGGTGGGAATGAATGCAATTTGGTGCCAGGGTCAAGGACCCAAATTCAGTCTTAAGTATGGAGTCCCTGTGAGTTGGGGACAATGTGGGGAAATCAGGCCAGAGCTTGGTTTGGCTTAAACTCTCTTGCAAATGACCAAAAGGAAGTCCTCAAACTAATTCTGGGCTGGAGCTGCAGCAAGGAAAGACAGCAGTGAGCTATAACGAAGAACTTCTGGAAATGCCAGATGGGGATGGACAAAGCCAAGGCCCCAGCCACCTCTGCCCCCACCATGCCCCCAACTCGCAGCCACTTGTGCGGTCTTCTATGATGGGCCTCTCTCTGGTGGGGCCCAGGCCTGGAAGGAAGGCTCCTCACTAGGCTGGAGGTGGAGACCTGATACGGTTTTGGAAACTCTTCTGAAGCTGGTTTTGGAGGAGAGGGGTGGTGAATGTGTCTGGGAGGTGCGTGGGCAGATAATCCTGCTGGGGAGCAGAGCAGAGTTCTGCAGGGACCCCTGGGAAAGGAGCTGCCCTTGATCTCCCTTCATTATCCACTGCACTCAGGCTCAAGATGCACTCCTCTGCTCAGGTGAGGAGCCCAGCCCTTGCTCTTCCCAGACCCTCACCAGTCTTGAGCTCACTTAAGAGCATTTCAAAGCCCTGGGGCCCTACTTATAGACAAGGATACCACCTCTTTGGAGATAATACACTTAGGAATAGGGGCAGAAGGCAAGGAAGGTGACCAGGATTAGAGGAGAAATTGAGGGATAAATATAGTTGGGGAATCCAGGCTCCTGGGGGGACATAGCTCCATGGCCTCAAGAACCCCCAACTCCCCCAGACCCTGAGAACCATCTGGTCCAGGCTTCTGCACCTGGGAAATATTGGCATTATTACTGTGTCAAGTACAAGGGATCGTCACAATGCAGAGATTAAAAGTGTGAGTTCTGGAGCTACTGGGTTTAAATCCTCACTCTGTCCTCTATTTGTTGTATACTTTGGATAAGTTTCTTAACTTCTCCGGACCTCGGTTTCCTCATCTGCAAGATGGGACTAGAATAGTACCTCTCCCTTAGGACTGTGAGGATAAATGAGGTATCTTTAAAGTGCTTAGTGTCTACTTCATGGTAAGCACTCTGTAAATGTCAGTTGTTTAGTTTGGGATGTACTCAGTATTTGTGGAATGAATAAATGAATGAATGAATCAATCAATTTTGGGAAGGTAATGAGACAAGGAGAGAGAAGGCCTGAGAAAAGGGTCATTTTATCTGTCTTTCTGACCCTGAACGACACCTCTAGGCCTCTCATTTTGAAGGGAGGGAGTTTCCTAAGGAAGATTCCATAGTCTCCCTTCCTCTCTCAATTATTTCAGATCTGTGATCCTTAATCCTCAGCTGAGAAGTCCTTCTGGATGTCTGACCCCAGTCCCTTCCACGACCATCAAGTCAGCAGGCCCTTTCTGGTTTGGGGGAATGTTTGCTGTTGCCCAGCCTACTCCTTCCTGTTCTAAGCTGGGCCCAGGGTGGGGGTGATTCAGAGTGGAAGCCCGAGGACCACTTCAGACCCTGGGAGTGTAAGTGGGGGTCATTAATTTAAAGAGAACCAATTCTGATCGGCATGGGCATGAGAACCTTTTCAGTTATCCAGATGAGATCATTCTCTTCCTCCCTTTATTGACTTTCCAGATTGTGTCTTCCCCTCCTCCATCCCAGGCCAGGCCCCCCTTTGCCCAGCTCCTCCCTTTGAGGGTTGTCTCCTTAGGGTCCAAATTTTTAAAAGAGGGTTACTGCTAAGGCTGCACATCTGTTGGGCACCTTGAACTTTTTCCAAACATAGACTTGTTTTATGTAAAACCCAGACTTTGTCAGAGCGCTGGAATCTCCACCCAGGACAAAGCCTGGTCCTGGGTCCTTCTCTAAGCACCCTGCACCCACCCCACGCTCCTCCTTACTTCCCTCAGCACCCAGCCCCAGACTCCAGAGCACCTCCGGCTCAGGACCAACCATGCTCACCCTTCCTCCTTTAGATAAACTTCCTTTCAAAGCCTGGCTTAATCCTTTCCCCAATTCTGAGCCTCCTTCTGCTGGGGGAGGGGTGGGGGGGTAGCAGGGATGCTGGGCTGCTGGGCAGAGGGGGAGGGGAGCGGCTGCCCGAGTAGTGACCCCACCCAGACTCAGACTGCAATTCTCCCAAGTTCTTTGTGACACAAAAGGTAAACAGAAGGCCTGGTTCCCCCACCCCCCTGCCCACCCCCCACAGATCTCTCCTCCCCCAGCCAGCCAGATGGGCTGGCAAGCTGGGGGGAAGGGAGAAGGGGAAAAAAGGGCAGATTGTGCAAAGGAAAACAAAAGAGACAGAGAGACATCAAGAGACAGGAAGCATGGAGAGACTGCGAGAGAGTTGGTGGGTGAGGGAAAAGTGGGGAGGATAAGGGAAGGGGGAGACCTGGTGACGTGACAGCCAGCAACAGAGATCCCCTGGGAGGGGCTGAGACCCAGACAAGGGAACAGAGGACACAGGGAGTGACCTACAGGGACGCAGAAACAGAAGCAAGAGAAGTGACCGAGAGAGACCCTGAGGGGAAGAGGCAGGGGAGAGGAAACAGTGAGAAGTACAAACAGACAGGGAGAGCTGCAGACAAACTTTGAGCGACAGGGACCAAGCTGGCGGAAGGTCTGGCTGATCAGGTGGAGATGAGAGAAAGTGGAAGTCTTTTTGCCCCACCCCTGGCTGTATTTCTTTTGAAAACTTGCCCACGTTTTGGCATTGGGCCTGGCAAGAGCAGTTCACCAATGGGTCTTTGCCCTCCCTCTGCGCCAGGCCCACTCTCCAGCCCAGCCCAGAGCCAGCAGGGTGCTCTCCTCCTCACCTGCACAGCAGAGGCAGACTGTTTGCTGTCATTGTTCCCTGGGGAGCTCAGGCCCGAGGCCTGCTGCAGCAGGAACTGCCGGGCCACCTGGAGAGCCTGCAAGACAGGGGCTGAGTCAGCAACGGCCTGGGAGGCTGGGTGGGATCCAGGGATTAGGGCGTGTTTGGGGCAGTCAGGAGAAGGAGCTCAGGGTAAGGTGGAAGGTCTTGGGGGTGAGAGAGTCACCGGTCCATAAGTGCTTGGGGGAAGGGCAGTAGGAGTCACTGAGAAGAGTAGTCAGGGTTCGGAATCAGAGCCTCTAAGGACTCATCCTGGGACCCAGTGAAGTTTTGTTAGGACTCAATGGTGGCAGCAAATGAAAGGGCCCAATAGTCAAAAAAGGGCTCTAGAGGAAAGTAAAGGGGGTGGACTCAGGGCATTAGTAAATCAGTACTATTTGTTGAGTACCTACTATGGGTCAGGCACTGTATAAGGCAAGAGCTTATTTAATCTTCCTCTGTAAGGCTGTGAGACAGGGATTACTGCCCCATTTTGCAGATGAGGAAACAGAGTCTCCAGAAGGTTAAGTAATTTACCCAAGATCATACAGCTAGGAGATATCAGAGCCAGGATTTGAGTCCAGGAAGCTTGGCTCCAAGGTCAACTGCCTTATTGGGTAGTCAGTCTGTGAGGGTGTGGGGGTGGGAGTGGGTGCTTAAAAAGTAGGATTCACTGTGGAGCCAGAGCACACAGTTAGGAGGATGAAGGAAGTGCCCTGGGGTCAGTGGCACAAGGTCTGAGTACCATGTGATTTTCTGAGTTCAAGGACTGTACATGCATGGTGCTGGAGGAATTAGATCAAGTTCTGAAAGGTGAACTACCAGCAGAGATGCATGGATCATGGTCGTCCGGACTTGGTGGCCACAGTGGCTTAGACTGAACTGAGCCAGAGGGGTCAGGAGTAGGAGGCATATAGAGACTGCTAGAGGAATGGCTTCAGTGGGTCAGTGTGACACTCAAGGAGTAGGAGTGGCCTGGGAGGTAAGCTGATGGGCAGTGAGACGTCTGGTAGGAGTGAGGGGTCAGGAGGGCCCAGGAAATTATCTGTGAGGCTGGCCAAGCACTCTATGCCGTCTCTGTGGGTCAGTGGAAGGTCTGAAGGCAAGTTCTGAATCCACATTTGAGGAGCACAAAACTGAATCTGCCTCCAGACTGCTCAAGACCCCCTTGGGAGCCAGTGCAGTTGCGTCCAAGCCCTTGACACAGGGCTCCAATCTTAGGCAGCCCTGGGTTTGGATCCCAGCTGTGCGGCCTGCCAGCCATGACCTTGGGCAAGTTATTCCAGTTCTTTGCACTTCAGTCTCCTTATCTGCAAAACTGGGAAACTACTCATCTCCAAATTACCAGGGGGATTAAAGGACCAATGTTTGGCATCCAGTTGGCATTTGGGAAGTGTTTACTCCCTTCAACTCTCATTAATCTCAACAATTCTCCATTTCACCTCCTCCAGCCTCTCCCCAACATAGCCTTGTGCCCTGCGCACTTATTAGACGAAATGAGCCCGCTTGTGGCTCACTCTCACATCTGTTCACACACGCACTTGTTTCCTCCATATAGGCGCCTATTCTCCAACCCCACCACAAGCATCTTCAAGGAAAAACCTTTTAAGGTGAGATATGGCTGCACTACCCATTGTTCAACAAGGGAAGAAAGTGACCACTGTGTACCAAGCATATACACACATCCACCTTTGTGCCTGTTCATCACCGGAGAGAACAGCCAAGCCTCCAGAGGCTTTACATCTAGTTTACCTGAGAATGTTATCTAAATGCTCACTGGCTTATTGATGGGAATGCATCCTGCAGCAAACCTGGAGCTCAGATTGGTGTCCTCCTCACAGGCCACCCCCACCCCACCTCCTTCCCTGGGCCTCATACCCAGAGAAGTGCCCTGGGCTTCCAGAGGAAGGCAGAATGTTTCTCCTCTTTCAGATTCACTTTGGAAAGCAGAAATCTGACCTTTTAAGTAAAAAGACTCTGTGGAAAGAGGAGTAAGGAACGGCGGTGGGTGAGGAAAGGCAGGGAGTCAGGTGGTCATCAGGAAGGAGCCCCTGCCTCTACCTTGCTTTTACAAATCCCTCCAGGTCTACTGACAAGTGCTCTTTGTCCTTCAAAGGTGGAGGTAGGATAGGGTGGAGGGGGTACAGTGATCAGAAGCCAGGGCGCAAGGGTTGGGGAATAAGACGGCTCAGAGAGGCTGGCCAGCCCAGGCGACCCAAAAGGGACACTGTTTGGGGTGGGGAGATGAAGCACTCCAGATCCCTGGGGAGCAGGAGAGAGCAGCAGGGGAGGGGCTTCTGGGGGAAGCTGGGGGCAGAGCCCTGCTCAGTCTCTTGGGGTGGGGTTGGGAAGTGGCCAGGGGAGTTGAATTCACTCCCTACTGACTGTCTTACTTTGTGGTCTCCTGGAGCATGAAATTACACGATTTACAGGAAAAAAATGACAAGGCCTTGCAATCTCATTCTTGAGACCTCCCTCCGTGTGACAGGCCCTTCTCACCTCCCCACCCCACAACCCCTTTCCTTCTTCTTGCCCAGGCCGGTACCCTCCCCTTTAGGCCAGATGAGAGCCAGGTAAGACCTTAGGTCTGGCCAAGGCTCCCCTCCCCCACCTTCCCACCATTCCTGCTCATATGAAGGTCCTCACTCACCCACTCCTCTCACATCTATGAAGTACCTGCTGTGTGCCAGGGACCAGGCTAGATGCTGGGAATATAGAGAAACAGAACATGGCCTCTGCCCCCAGGGCTCACAGCTCAGGTTCTGTGATGATAGTCTCTTATAAAGAATGATAAGGAACTAGTCAGCCAGAATCGAGGGTGGGTGCCAGGGCTCAGAGAAGGCCTTCTACCTGTAGAAGTCTGAGAAGGCTTCCCAGAGGAGGTGGCAACACTAACTGGAGTCTCGCCATCTGAAGGGAGAGTTCACATGGTGAATGTGGAGGGTGGTCACATCTACCACTACCATGCTGCTGCATCAGATGTGTTCACACTGCCTCCTGGCACCGGGGCCTGGAGATCACTGGACCGCCCACCTCCAAGAGACATGGGAAATAACAGGTCCTAACTCTGGCAGATCCAGCCCCACTTTCTTTGATAATGCCAACCAGACTGGGGCCTCCTTGAAAGCACAGATGTTGTCAAATGTAGCTGTGAACCCCCACCGCCACCCACCAGTATACAGCAGCCATGCGATACCCACTCACAAAACTCATTTTAGTCTAGGCTGAATACGGTCAGCCAGCACTAAGCTTAGCAGCCAACATATGCCTTGCAACTTTCAAAGCACTTTTTCAAACATTTAATTGAATCTTCACAACACTGAGCTAGGTGGAGCAGGTATTGATAACCCTATTTTACAGACAAGAAAACTGAGGCCTTAGGTTCCACAGCTAGGAAGTGGGAGAGCCGGGTTTACCCCACTAAGGGGTCTCCACGATCCCATGCAGAGTGCAGCAAGGCCTTCAAATCTGCCTTTCCCCTCATCTGCATGTGTTCAGCCCTCCAGTGAGAAAGGGAAGTGAAGATGGAGGTAGAGGAGGAAGACCAAGAAAGGAAACTCCAGGGGAAAGGTGGGCTCAGTTTCCCTTCCCTAGAAACAAGAGATAACCAAACACAGCCCTGGGTGAGTAAGATGTTCAGATACCCACTCCAGGAAGAAGCCATTATGGAAAACTTAGGGGAGGAAGGAAGTGGGGGCTTAAGCAGAATGGGAAACAGGGAGCCATTTGGCCTCTCAAACCTTCTTTTTTCCCTCCTTCTACCCCTTGGACTGAAAACCAAATGTCCAGCTCTGTGGTTTGGGGATGACATCCAGTTTTCCTCTAAGGGAGGTGTACAGTCCATTCATGCATGGACTTCAAGAGAGATCTAGATCCAAGTCCTGGCTCCACCATATACTGGGTAACCTGGGGCAAGTCAACATCTCTTTGAGCCTCCGTTTCTTCCTCTGCAAAACTGGAATAAAAAACAAACAAACAAACAAAAAAAAAAACTGGAACACAACCCCATACTTTCTTCATGGGGTTCCTGGGAAAAGCACATGGGACTATGCACACGGAGTACTTAGCACACTGCCAGGTACCCAGTAGGTCCTGGACGAACACTATTACTATGATTAATCTTTCACCAGCAGCTCCTGGTCATTTGCCTGGTGCCACCCAGAAGGCCTTGCTAACCAAACCCTCTTTCAGCCCAGCCCACATTTCCCCTCAAGCTTAAGAACTCAGTCTCGGTAATGAAGCTGAACTCTCCTCCCCCAACCCCCATTCAGAAGTCATTAGCAGGATCTCTGCAATTAGGAACAAATGGCTTATAACGGATGGCATCCAGGGAGGGCAGTTGGGATGGAGGAGAATGAAGCTGTAGCTTTGAGGGCAACAGGGAGCTGCTATGAATAGAAAAACAAGTCTTGGTGCTGTGGGGTCTCTCTCTCCCCTCCAGGATGGGATCACACTCCTATTTCTGGTTCTGGGAATTTGGGGTTGGTGGGAGGGGTGGGAGAGGGGTCATTCTCTCCAGGAAGCCAGGTGCAGGGTTGTTTACCAGCCCTTTCAGCAGGCTGGAGGGTCCCAGATCTGTGTTGCGGTGCCAGCCTTATTCTCTGTGTGTGCGGGAGGGTGGGGATGTGATAATCAGGGGGATGAACTTGAAGGGCTGCTGAGAATGAGAAGTCAAAGAGCATGGGCCACAGCCCTGGAGAGCTCAAGTGTTAGAAGGTATCGAGTCCAGCATTTCTTAAATTGTTGCTCATGGCCCAGTAGTGGGTCATAATATAAATTTAGCGGGTAAAAAAACAGGAATTTTCTAGTTCACTGATAAATGAAGAAATAGAGATCCAGAGATGGGCAATGATTTGCCCAATGGGACACAGTGACAAAAGGAGAACCTGAATGCACCAGACCTGAAACTGGGCTCTGCACAGGGAAGAGGAACCGAGCGCTGGCCGGCGGGATGGAGGAGGTGCTAGCACATTCTGGTTTAATATGGATTGTGGTGAGGGGCAGCCAAAAGAAACAAACTCCAAACTTCCTTTGTCTGCCTCTGGCTGGTTTTGGCAA